GTGCTTTGGGAGTGACTGAAGTATTTGGCAACTTCAGGTACGACTCCTGAAACTTAAAAATTTTTTGTTCAAAATCGGGGCTCAAGTGATTTCTAAAGCAAGCATTCACCGCTGAGTCAAAATGTCTCAATGTTTCAACAAATGGCACAGCAAGAAAAAATGAGCATTGCTCAGCTAAACTTTGAGGCGATCAGTGTTTTTCAAGAGCTTGCGGCAGTCATTCCCTGCAAATCGGCCACCATGAAAAGACTGCACTTGAATATGAAGGGCTGCTGGCCATTCCTTTGCTGCGGGCCAAATCTGGCATAAACTTTTGTAGAGATGGTTAACGACTCCAAAAAGCAGATGAAGTTCCATGGGAGGAATGATGTCCAAAATCAGTGTGTCATCTGGCAGAGTCATTATGGGTTCATGGATGACGTTTTTGAAGTCTTTTGCTCTCCTTGCATTGGCACCACTGCTTTGAAACTGCAGAAAGTTTTCTCGAATTGAACCAAGTGTTCTGAGACTTCCAGAGCGACTCAAATCTTTTGATTCTGCATCACACCATGAACAAGGATGTGCACTTGCATGGGACTGAAGACCACAAACAAGATTGGCGACTTTCATGTCACAAGAGATTATGTAGGAAAGTTTGTGAAGTTGAAGAGAAGAAATTATGCTTTTCAAGTTGTCATAACTCTCTGGCAGATCTTCTGAAATTGCCACCAGAAGTTGCCGTTTGACTCCTATGGCTTTAAGCCCTTGTTTTGGTGGTGGAGAATTTGAATCTGTGTTTCTGGCAATGATTCCAAGAGATACTTTCAAAAACCCACCACCTCCATCAATGCCAATCTTCATCAGCAGATCTCCTGAAACATTCCTTACTTTGATAACGTGATTTGCAAGACTTCCTATATCTGGGCAAAAAACAAGCAGTCGTGAAGGGTCATCATTCTTTGTAGAATCTCGTATGGCCTTGGTCTCAAAATGCTCAGAAAGAGATTTCCCGAAACTGTCGAATTTCTCTCTGAAATTTTTTTCTACAATCCGGAGAGGTGTAGCTTGGTTCAAAGATGATGCCAATTTGGACATGCCACGATTTGACAATCTAGTTCCAATTTGGACTCCAACCATGTCTTGTGCCGTGAGCTTGGGCACAGCAGGAAACAATTCTCTTGCACTTGATGGTCCTAAAGAACATTTAATGGCCGAGGTTAAACTTTTCTACATTTACATTTTAAAAGAAATTTATAAGTGATTTATGCTTAAATCTATATTGCTTTACCTGGAACAACGGGAAAACGATTTCCTCCAAGTGGTTGACTTAGTGTGAGTGATTAGCAACTGTTAATGATGCTACCCTCGCTGCCGCAATGCGATCCCTCGAAGCAACTTCCACTAAATTTTGCCTTAATGTTCCTGTTGTGCAATTGTGAGGCAATCCATGACCAATCACAGAGAAGCAATCAGTGCACCTTTTTTCAATGCTTGAACTTTCTTTGGGTTTCGGTGGTTCCAAAGGATGACGCTGATTCATATTTGTCCTTGCAGTTTGACAAATCAAACAATTACAAGGAATATTTGTTGCAGCACGCTGAACTGAGATGGTGCTGAAATCAAAGAGCCTTGGGATAGGTGCATCCTCCCCTTCTTCTTGTCTGCGAATAGCCACACAACATCTTTCACAAATTCCACAAGGGATTTGAAAGTTTGAAAAATCAAGCTCAATTTTGAGGACTGTGCGAATTTTCTCCACTAAAAAACTTGTGATTTCTTGATTTGCCTTCTTCAAACATAGGAAACAAACACATTTTCGGTTTTCTTCATGAGTTTTAGCTTTATTAGGCATTTTATCAAACTTTCAATGTGTCTGATTTGAAAAAAACTTAATGTGGACCCTTTTCCCGGAATTAGAATTAAAATTGAAAAACAAACAAAAAATAATAATGATATCAAAAAACCTGCTCCAATTAGTTATATAATGTCTTAAATAGTACTCTAAGCAACGTAACAACAAAAATGCTGTAAAAATGCCAAAATCCTATCATCTCATTTAAATTTTGATATGCCAGAATTGAAGAAAATAAAAACTAAAATATCTCTCTCGGACGTCATAGTTCGATTTCCAAATTTATATCTAAGTGATCTACTATATGTGGGCTATCATCCCACCAAAGGGTTTTCTCGGGACATGAGGTTAAGGTTGATGGCCATTTCATGACACTGTGTATATCTATATATACATATATATATATATATATATATATATATATATATATATATATATATATATATATATATATATATATATATATATATATATATATATATATATATATATATATATATATATATACAGTGCGGTGCAAATTTATAACCTCACCAAAAAATCAAGTTCTTACAAATAATTAAATAATCATTTTTAAATTATTCAACTGCTTAATATCTTACTTGATTAGTATTTCATTTGTAATAGAGTCTGGTTTCATTTCGTTAACTGACTTGAAGATTTCAGAAAAATTATGGTGCAAAATTATAACCTCATTTTAATTTTACTTTACAAAATTCCATAATGTTTTGTATTGCTACTTGAATTTTTTATTAGTACTTTGTTTTATTGCCGCCATTCTGAATAACTTCAAATATTCGATCAGGCATACTTTCCGAATGTTTTCTAAGATCTGCAAGAGATATGTTTTTCCAAACATGAACAATTGCCTTTTTTAATTCATCGACATTCGAATATTGTTTCCCTTCTGCATAAACACGTCTAATTAGTAGTTAAGTAATTGAAGCCGTCTGGACCATCAAGATTGAATTTTTTTTCATCGGACCACACAATTTTTCGCCATTCTTTTTCCCAAGTCATGTGGTCCTTGGCCCATTGAAGACGAATGCGTTTGTGCGCTTCAGTTAGTGCTGGAGATTTGCGTTTTTTTGCATATCTAAGAATGCCTGACTTGTTAATTGCACGATTCACCATCCATTTTGAGCAGTTCAATCCCAAAACATCGCCTATTTGTTTCGCGGAGATTGTACGGTTACTAGCAGCATGCACAATTCGTTGCTGTTGGCGAGCTGTAAGTATAGGTTTTCTACCACTGTGATGCTTCGTGCAATAATTTGTTGGATCATTTACGAAATTATTGATCAAACATGGTGAACGTCTCAGTTTGCAAGCAACTGCCCTGTTTGATAAACGCAATGATCTGTAGGCTTCGATCTTGCCTTTTTCTTCATCGGAGAGTGTGTTTCCTCTTGGCATTCGTTAGAATGTTTTTTATAATTTTTAAATGTAATAAATTTTATTTGAAAACGGAATTTACTACTATTTTTTAACAACTTTTGATGCAATTCAGATAACGAGGTTATAATTGTGCACCACGGTTTTAAACGGTTTTATAATTTGAGTTAATTAAAGTATAAATAGATTCATGTAAATTATTTTGTTTATTTCAAAAAATGATCTACAAATAGAATTTGATCAACAAACTTTGAAAGATAGTTTTAAGGTGACTATACAGGTGAGGTTATAATTCTGCACCCCACTATATATATATATATATATATATATATATATATATATATATATATATATATATATATATATATATATATATATATATATATATATATATATATATATATATATATATATATATATATATATATATATATATGTATATATATATATATATATATATATATATATATATATGTATATATATATATATATAGTGGGTGCTCATGTTATTAGAAACACGACCAAATTTTAAAAACTTTGTGAATAAAGTTAAAAATTAACAAAACATTTTAACAAAATAAAACTACAAATAAGCAATTTACCATATACCTGTTGCAGATTTTACTTGAAAAAGGTCATCTTCACTATTTTGTGGCTTTAAAAATTTTTCAAGTTAATTAAGACGTGATGTAACTTTAAAATGTTATAGGGGTAAGCAGTTTAGCGACCAAAAATAAACATATTTCTAAGAACTAATTACCTAACATCAAAAACTAGTTACATGATACATTTCTAAATAAATAAATTACTGAAATTTCTTACTATTATAATACTAAACTAATAATATAATACGTAAACTTCTTAACAAAAAAATTTTTGTTATTAATATGAACTAAATTAATTTTTATGAAATCGATTTTTATTGGTAGTTATGAAGATTTTATTGCTTTAAACCAAAACTTTATTTTGAGGTAATTTTATTATTTTTGACAAATTTTTTTATTTGTTATCGTTTCTTACTAAAGTATAAAGTAGTTGGTTTCAAAACAAACTTTTTAAGTATAACTGAAAATTATTTATTATAAAAGCAATCTTTTTACTGAAATTTCTTAGAAATTTCTTATTAGGTGGTTTCTTCATCACTTAAAAAGGTTAATTAGAAAGAAAAGAACCCTCTAGAGAAAATGTTTACGCAATCCTTTTTTAACAACAGAAATTAGAATACAAATCAGTTAAAAATAAAGTAAAAAAAGAAATAAAAAAAAACAAATTAAAATACATGAAACAACTGTCACCTTTATTAACGCATTAAATGCAAATGGCAAACTTAAAACAAACTATTTATTAATAACAAATTCTTTTAGTAACAATTTTAGCTCTGTTGTCACCAAGAAAATTAATAACAATATACCATTCTTTAAAAATAGGACAAACATTATATCTGATTATCCTACATTTTCACGGGACACAGCTTCTATAATCATGAAGTCACTAAATCCAAATAAATGTACAGGAGTAGAAGGAGTTTACTCATTTCCTTTAACATGCTGAGCAGAAGCGCTTTTACTTCCTTTATAATTTATTTTTAATAAATCGTATCAAACTAGAATAATACCATTGATGTAGTAAATGCTAATTAAACACCATTATTTAAAAGTGGAGATAAATCGGATCCATCAAATCAATGGATCCAATTAATCTCCATTTTATCGACCAGTATCACTTACTTCAGTTACAAGTAAAGTAAAGGAATGTATCTTTAAAAGCAACATTTATGTCGCATTTAGGAAATAACAATCTTTTGAATAACGAACAGCATGGATTTTCTAAAAAAAAATGTTGTGCAAACCTTATAAAATCTATGGATCTAATAACTCAGGCAATGGAAGAAAATTTACCAGTAGATATCATTTTCCTAGATATGAAAAAAGCTTTCGACTCCCTGCCTCACAACAGATTGGGTCTTAAACTAAAAAGTTATGGATTTAACAATAAAGCAATTAGACAGTGCAAAAATTTAACAGAGTTTAATGTATTGTCTGCAACAACAAAGTTTCAAATTGGTCTCCAGTTACAAGTGGAGTATCGCAAGGCTCTATATTTTTTTGTTTACTGTTTGTTAAACAACTTACCGAATGAGTTATCAACAAATGTAAAATATATGCTGACGATATTAAACTAATTAACATAGTTTACTTTCTGATATCTGATATCTTCTGATAACTTAGACATAAACGCGTCTTGACAATTGTAAATCTCTCTTGTAAGACCCTATCTCAGGCTTGTTCGGGAAGGCCTATCTCAGGCTTGTCCAGGAAGGAAGATTTCAAGTTTTTATACGACCACGCAAATAATATTTTGCTATGATGATTTAATGACGCTTTTAACAAATGTGCTAAAAAAATTGGTTTTTAATTACGGTGAAATTAAATAAATTTGATGCATTTATCTTTATAACGTTTTCATATTAGCAAAACACTTTTAAATAAAGTAGCTAAAACTTTAATTGTCATGGAAAGTTGTATACTTTTATACTTATATTATTTAATTATATAAGATTTTTTTATAAGTAAAAATAAAAAAAGTAAAAGACTTAAAAAAAAATTTAGACTTTAATAAGCAAAGGTCTCTTTAATATATCTTTAATATATAAGGTATCTTTAATAAACTTTATACAAGAATCATTAAAGTTTTTTTTGAGAAGAAAAAAAAAAAACTTTTTAGAAAGCAATTTGAATTAACTAACTTCGGTCTTTACATACATTTTTATTTTATTAAAACGCATTTAAATAAAGTAACAAGTCACTGCTAATGATTTTTTATAAAAACATATATATATATTTTTTTAAAGTATTTTTTATTATAAATGTTTTTAACGAAAAAAAATAAATCAAAATTTTAAGTAAACAATTTAATTACTTTTTCTTTAGCACAAAGAAGTAAGAATCTTTTTTAAAACTTTTAAATGTGCGTGTTTATTAAACAATTGTCAGTTCTAAGTTGTTACTTTATTTAAAAAGCGTAAAAAATAATGCAAAATTATATTTTATAATATAATTATGCATAATTCGCATAATTATATTATAAAATTTTATTTTTACTGCTTTAGTTAAATTATTTTTATTTTTTATTTTTTTTACCAAGATTTATTTGCTTCTTTTACGATAAGTTTTTTTTTAAGTTTCTTTATAAATAAGATATTTATAAAAAAAATATAAAAATATTTTTTAGCGTATTTTTAAAACATATACAAATTTTTAAAACATATTAACAGCCGTGGTTAAGTTAAGTAAAATCAAAAATCATTTGCGTGGTCATATTATGACGTGAAATTGTACGCCTTCCTGGCCAAGCCTGCTATCTAGACTACGCAAATTAAGTGTGGTATCCTTACTTAAAATAGTACAAAAAAAATTGAATTGATACAACGTTAAGCAACAAGAACAAAACATCTTCAAGGGAAAAACTATGAAACTATACTAATCTACTTTAATTAGCGACTCTTGAAAGAAGGCGCGTACTTAATGACCTAATCCAACTTTACCAAATAGTAAAAAAAGTAAATAATTTACATTGGAACCACCTGATTTAAAAGCTTCAAATACAAGATTAATATGAGGTCACAATATGAAAATTTCATAGACAATTAACTAAAAATACAAAGAGATACTATTTCCTAACAAACCGTGTTATTAACAGCTGGAATAATTTAGATCAAAACATTGTAGATTTTAAAACACTTAAAGAGTTAAAATCAAAGTTGAACTTGTTTTTAACTCAAATCAAATAAACAAAAATAAACACAAATCAGCTGTTAAAGCCTATAAGATGGGTTCTATGGGCTTAATAACATCAGAGACATACAAAGGTCAACATACCAACACAGTGTTATTGAAACTTTAATCAATCAAGAAGAAATAATTATATATTTCCGCTATAACTTTGAAAAATTAAACTTAACGATAATGTCTGAAAGGCATTTTATAAAATATTTAAAAAGGTATCCTTAATGTATTCATCAAAGAAAACTTGTTATGATCCATTCAACACACATACAAATAAAATCAAAAAGAAGAAGCAGTAAAGTTAAATATTTAATTATGATTTCAAAACAGAGCAATATAAAGTTGTAAACAAATGTGAGAACAAGCTTTAGGCAACTAAAGCTTGTTCTGCTCAACTGTTATTTAGAAAATCTTGACATAGTTCTAATAAAAGTCAAAAGTTACAATTAGAAATGGTTTAAATATTGTCCTGCAAACCTTGTTTATAAGGTTAGCAGGACAATATTTAAAGTCATCACAATATTTTCTCTAAAATGTGTTATGATACAAATTAAAAAATATAACAAGAAACAAACAAAATTAAAAAAATGCAAAAAAAATTGATGAAATTTTAAGCTTGATAAAAGAGAAAACTCTCAGTTCAGCAAAAGGATTATTGTTCAACTTCTCACATTGGTTTAACTAAGTCGATATCTGAAGTAAAAAAATATATTTCATCGTTAGAAAATACTAGACAATGAGAGATTTTTAACGAAAAAAGATTATAAGCTATTTCTCCATTGTATGAAGTCTTACAAAATAAAAATAAAAAGTCACATAAAAAGTCTTATGACTCAAGTAATGCCGAAATATAATGTCGAATGGAAAAAAGATTATGTGCGCATTGTAAAGAACATTCATAGACAAAAAAACTCCCTTTATATAATTTATAGGAACTATATGTAATATGCAAACATTTTTCAAACATTGCACATAATATAATTTATGTCTGAAAATATTTCAAATAATCTTACCCACATTAAAAACAAAATTTTCTTATCAGTCCAAATTAAATTTATTCACTGATAGTTGTGCACTTCAGTACAAAATTTGCAAAAGCTTCCATGATCTATTCCAACTAGAAAAATAATTTGTCATTAAAGCTGAATGGATTTATTTGTCACGTTCCAAAAAAGATCACCATGCAATGGGATGGTTTGTACTGAAAAATGGTGGACAGTGTACTAAGTTTGAAATAATCTTAATAAACCCAAGTTCTCACATCAGAAGCCATGTATAAATTTTGTATTGAAAAAACCAAGATTGTTAATTTCATTTACATAAAAAGTGGAATTACAATTTAAAAAAAAATGAATAGTGGTGTTTTGAGATATTGGGCCCCGAAACTGGGTTTTATTTTATTTGGAATAAAAAACATATTTTCAGGCTGTAAAAGATTATGTTGGGATAATAACAGAAAAAGCAAACTTTTTAAATTAATGTTGTTATGTTTTGAAAATAATAGCATGTTTAAATTGGAGTTTTTAGGCAATGTATTTTTAGATATATTTGAGTTCTAAAGTGTAACAGGTTCATTATGTCTAGCCAAATATTGCAGGAAATAGGTGTTAACCAGAAAACATAACTGTAAAGACTTGTAAGTGCACCTTAAGATTTATTTACAACAGTGTCTTGTTTAATGAGATCTTTTAAAAACTAGTTTTAATTCTATTAGGAGCTGGAGGGGTAATATATTGTGTAAAATATTTCATAACTAAATTAATGTGTTTTATTTTTAATTTGATATTTTTTGATTTTATATCATTATATATCATTATCATTTTTATATCTATATAATTTTTTTTATGTTTATATATTAAACCACTTTGCAATGAATTGGATTGAATGGATCAAATAAAGTATTACTTAAAATCTTAACTTTTCTGAATGACCAATTTCACATGTTGCTTAGTGCATAAGTTGCAAACAAACAGTGCACTGTTTGTTAACAAACTAGACACACGATAAGTTTTAAACTTTGAGACAAAATAATATCACAACTTTAATAAGAAACCTAATGAATTCTTGCAACAGCATTAAATATTTTCAAATTTTATTTCATATTAATGAAATAAAATTTGTGATAATTATATTATTTAAGCTTGCAGCTGTTCATTTATAATACTGGTACATTTAATTATTTAAAAATCTTACCATCATTCAAATTCTTTTATTTTAAAACAGTTTTCAAAAAGGTATACAATTTTTTAAAGAAATACAATACACTATATATTAACTTATTATTGCTAAATATTAACTTGAGTTCAAGTATAGAAGTCTTAGGGTATTAGATAATAGAAGGTTATTTCAACATAAAATCACCCAAATTTTATGAACTTTGGAACCATGGGTCCTCATACTTTTTCAAACTTCTTTGGGTGTTGCATGTTACAGAGAAAACTTCTCAAAAAAAATTTAGCTCAAAATGTTGAATGGTCCCTGAGATATTCCATTTTAATAATGAACAAAAGTGACCTGGTTTTCAACAACTGCAAAATATGAAAATAAACATATATAGTTTTTGATGCAGAAAACAAGAAATGTACTTAAAATGCCTAAGTGTATAAATGAAGCTTAAAAATTAATAAAATAACATATAAATATTTTTTTACATCTTCGCTTCCAACAATGCTACGAGCAACCACTATAAGAATTGGAAGTTACTGGAAGAGAAAAGATTAAGTTCGTAGAGAAAGATAACGATTGACTGATGACTTAAAAGATTGCAAATTATATGTATCAAGGAAGCAAGATGAAGGAAGCCAATTCCAAAGAACTGATGTTCGAGAAAAAAACTAGACGAATAAGAGATTTTGGAGCACTTAGGAACAGTCACAGAAAAAGGATGTGACTTAATTTAATGGCGAGTGACACGAGAATGAATTTTAGTAGATGGCACAAGGGACGTTAGCTCTTTAGAGCAATGCCCATTAGAGTATTTGAAGAACAGAAAAAGAGAAGCAACATCACGACGATGTGACAGGGGTTGGAGATCTATGTTTACAATGCGTTTTTGAACCTTGTCAAAAAGAGAAAGAGCATCATTAGAAGATCCGCCTCAGATATGGCAACAGTATTCCATACAGGGAAAGATTTGAGATTTATAGAGATAAAGAATAGAATCTGGAGTAAGAAAGTGTCAAGCTCTATAAAGAGATGCAACCTTAGCAGATGCTAATTTTGCTATGGATTTGATATACGGTTTGAAAGAAAGATCAGAAGAAAAAGTTAATCCCAGAAGAAGAACGGTAGATGACTCATCTAGTACATTACCATTCATAAATATAGGAAGATTTAAACTATTGCGATAATAATTGGCCAAAAAAAATTGAGTTTTATCTGAATTAAAGTTTACCAG